GGCGAAACCCCATCTCTACTAAAAATACAAAAATTAGCCGGGTGTGGTGATGGGCGCCTGTTACTTGGGACGCTGAGGCAGGAGAATCCCTTGAACTCGGGAGGCAGAGGTTGCAGTGAGCTGAGATTGCACCATTGCATTCTAGCCTGGATGACAAGAGCAAAACTTTGTCTCAAAAAAAAAAAAAAAAAAAAAAAAAGTACAGGTTGAGTATCCTTTATCTAAAATACTTGGGACCAGAATTGTTTCAAATTTTGATTTTTTTCAGATTTTGGAATATTTGCATTATACCCACCCTAGTTGAGTATCTCAAATCTGAAAATCTGTAATCCAAAATGCTCCAATGAGCATTTCCTTTGATCATCCTGTCAGCACCCAAAACGTTTAGGATTTTGGAATGTTTTGAATTTCAGATTTTCAGATTTGGGATGGTTGACCTATATTTTATATGAATATTCCAAACAGCCTTCAAATATGTGGGCTTTTAAATTTTTTTCTGGGAAATACTAAAAAATTCTAATAAGGGAGGAGACCACCCCTTATATTGTCTTATGCCCAATTTCTGCCTCCACAGAAAGAAGACGTAAAAACTAAAAGCAGAAGTGGAATCCACAGGCAGATAATCCAACTCTGCGCCCTGGGCCTGGTAGTTAAAAATCAGCCCCTGAGCTCACTGCTTGTGTTATCTATAGATTTCAGACACTGTATGGAAAAGCATCATGAAAATCCCTGTTCTGGCTGGGCGCGGTGGCTCACGCCTGTAATCCCAGCACTTTGGGAGGCCGAGACGGGCGGATCACGAGGTCAGGAGATCGAGACCATCCTGGCTAACACGGTGAAACCCCGTCTCTACTAAAAAATACAAAAAACTAGCCGGGCAAGGTGGCGGGCGCCTGTAGTCCCAGCTACTCGGGAGGCTGAGGCAGGAGAATGGCGTGAACCCGGGAGATGGAGCTTGCAGTGAGCTGAGATCCGGCCACTGCACTCCAGCCTGGGTGACAGAGCGAGACTCCGTCTCAAAAAAAAAAAAAAAAAAAAGAAAATCCCTGTCCTGTTCTGTTCCGTTCTGATTACTGGTGCATGCAGCCCCCAGTCACGTACCCCCTGCTTGCTCAATCACGACCCTCTCACATGGACCCCCTTAGAGTTGTAAGCCCTTAAAAAGGATAGGAATTACTCACTTAGGGAGCTCGGATTTTGGAGACGTGAGTCCACCGATGCTCCCAGGTGAATAAAGCCCTTTCCTTCTGCAACTCGGTGTCTGAAGGGGTCTTGTCTGCAGCTCCTCCTGCTACAATAATAGCTATGTTAAGGCTTAACTGACATACAATAAACTGAACATATTTAAAATGTACAAGTTTTGACATGTGTATACATCTGGGAAATTATCACCACAATTCAGGTCTGATTTGCATGTTAGGCACAGTTCATAGGGCCTACTTTTTTTTGAGATAGATTCTCTCTGTTGCCCAGTCTGGATCTCCGCTCACTACAACCTTCGCCTCTGATGCTCAAGCGAGTCTGAAGCCTCAGCCTCCGGAGTAGCTGGGATTACAGGCTAATAGTTATATCTTTAGTTTCGCCATGTTGGCCAGGCTGGTCTCAAATTCCTGGGCTCAGGCGATCCGCTCACCTCAGCCTCCCAAACTGCTGGGATTAAAGGCATGAAACACCTTGCCTGGCCGAAAAATGTTTTAAATTCAAAATGCTGTAATGGAGGCTGGGTGCAGTGGCTTTTTTTACTCAGCATACTTGAGATTCATGTTATTGTATATATGAGTAGTTCCGTCCTTTTTTGGCTAACATTCCATTGTATGGATTGGTCTTTAACTTGTTGATTGACATTTGGATTGTCTACAGTTTGGGGCTATTACAAATAGAGCTGCTGTGAACGTGTGTGTACAGGCTTTTGTATGGGCGTATGCTCTGTTTACTCTTGGTAAATACCTATGAGTGGAATGGCTGAGTCATATTGTAGTAGTTTAACGTTTTTAAAAACTACCAAACTGTTTTCCAAAGTGAGTGTACCATTTTACATTCCCATCAGCAGTGAATGAGTGTTCTGGTTTCTCCACCTCCTTGCCAACTTGGTATGGTCAGTCTTTTAAATTTTAGACAGTCTGATATGTGTGTAGTGGTATCTCATTGTGTTTTAAATTTGCATTTCCCTAATGATTAATGACATTCCTTAATGATTAATGACGTTGGCCATCTTTTCATGTTATTATTTGGAATCCATATATCTTCTTTTATCAAGTGTCTGTTCAAATTGTTTGTCCCCCTTTTAGGAGAGTTGTGAAAATAATCTTTTAATTGAAAATGTACGGCCGGGCGCGGTGGCTCACGCCTGTAATCCCAGCACTTTGGGAGGCCGAGGCGGGCGGATCACAAGGTCAGGAGATCGAGACCACGGTGAAACCCCGTCTCTACTAAAAATACAAAAAATTAGCCGGGCGCGGTTGTGGGCGCCTGTAGTCCCAGCTACTCGGGAGGCTGAGGCAGGAGAATGGCGTGAACCCGGGAGGCGGAGCTTGCAGTGAGCCGAGATCGCGCCACTGCACTCCAGCCTGGGCTGGGCGACAGAGCGAGACTCCGTCTCAAAAAAAAAAAAAAAAAAAAAAAAAAGAGAAAATGTACATTGTTTCCACCTGATTTAGAACCTAAGAATCTTGAAAGGAAAGAGAAAGAACTAACATTTCCGTGACTGAGAACTGGATCGTGACAAATGAGAAAATAAACACAATAAAGGCAAGTTTGGTGGGGGTGACAGAGCAGAGCGACTTGTGATCCCCGCGCCGTCACCACGTTCGGTTCGGTTCGGTTCGTTCCTCTGGACTACGGGGTTAATGATGCCGGCAATCAGCGCAAAGTGAGATAATCACCAGCGCACTCTTGGATCTCTATGCAGGTTTGTAAACTATGTGGAGGAAACGAACCCGTTGCAGTCTCAGCCGAAGAGGCCGGAGTAGGAGCCGAAGCCTGAGCAGGTCCTGAAAAACAGACCGGCCGTTCAGGACTAGGCCCTGAACCACAACTTGCTCCTCAGGGGTCCGGGTCGGAAGTGACGACTTCATTCACTGAGCAGCCATTTCCGGTCCCCAGTGTGCCCGGAGTGCCTTCTGGGTGTCAGAAAAGACACAGAAACTAACGGGGCGGAACCGCGACACGGTGCCTGCTGATGTCAAAAGGTCTCACGGCTCCGGGGGGGACCCAGTCGCCCACAGCCGCCAGGGGCGCTGCCGGCTCCGAGCTTGTTGTTGAGAGCCGCTCGGCTGCTCGTGTCTGCCCTTCAGTCCTTCCAACTCTTCTGGGACCTAGAGTTCCGGGATCTCACTGCGATCTTGGAGGATTCCTATGTAGAATTCAAAAGGATATGGGGAAGGAAAAAACAAAAATACACCACACTTTGTTTCCGCCCGGTTTCGAACCGGGGACCTTTCGCGTGTGAGGCGAACGTGATAACCACTACACTACGGAAACTAAGTGACAGCTGGGGTTTCGCAAATGACTCTTAAAAGGTAGCTCCTCATCACTGAGTCCTTGACCCAAGAGAAAAGTACCCGGCGGGCCAACCACAGCTTCGGGATGGGGGCGCGCAGGGAAGTAGCCAGCAAAGCAGGTAAGGCCCGGGCTGCTTGCTCGCGGGGGATCATGACCGAGGGCACAGGGGTGAACTCCATGGTGCTTCCTTAGGAAATTTCTGGCACAGTCAGGGCTGCAGCCATAGCCCTGAGACAGTGGGGCAGGGCTCCAGGCGTCCTCGAATGCTCGTCGTGGAGTTTTCCTGATCCTGTCGGGTCCCTAAGGAGCTTGGCGGGGAGCGTGGACGCCCTGGGGCCAGGCCACCGCGGCCACTGAGAGCCCCACCCGGGGACTGGAGAAAAACGAAGTAGAAGAGACCCAGGGGACAGCCTTGGCCGGGTCAAGGGAAACCAGGTCATATTTGGAACAAAGTACGCCTTAGATTTGCCCAGCACTGAATTTAGAAGCATTTTCACATTCTCGTGTTTAACTAGTTTTACAACAGTGCCGCGAGCGAAATATTAAACGTGTTTTAAAGATGAAGAGACTGAACCTAGGTAAATTGTACTTGGGTAAGATGGAAGCGCTACTTAACATTAAGGAGGGTCTGCGATCCTGATGTTCTCAGGCTGTCTCGCTTAGTGGGACTGCACGTTATTATTGTCCGAGGAAGCAAACGAAGAGGAAAGAGACCGTGGAGAGTATTCCTGGAGGGACTCAAGATACCTCTCTAGGTAGAACCCCAAGATACCTGTGTAGAGTAACAGCTTATGTCGAATGACCTCATCTTTTCCACTGCTGCGGGTGAAATTATCTGAGGAGGTAGGAAGAGGAGATGGTTTAGGGATGCCATATGACAAAGGCTTTGGAAAATTAAGAAGAGGCTGGGCGTGGTGGCTCACGCCTGTAATCCCAGCACTGTGGGAGTCCAAGTGGGCGGATCTCACCTAGGATCAGGAGTTCGAGACCAGCCTGGCTAACATGGTGAAACGCCATTTCTACTAAAAATACAAAAATTAGCTGGGCGTGGTGGCGCGCCCCTGTAATCCCAGCTACTCGAGAGGCCTAGGCAGGAGAATAGCTTGAACCCAGGAGGCTTAGGTTGCAGTGAGCCGAGATCACGCAATTACACTCCAGATTGGATGAAAAAGCAAAACTTCGTCAAAAAAAAAAATAAAATAAAAATAAAAGAAAAAAGAAAATTAAGAAGAGAAGGATGAGAGAATTACGAGGCAGCAGTGAAGACTTACATGCTATTGTGTGATACAAATGCCCAGGGGCTAGCATGGAACGATGTTGACTGACTGCGCCAGGAGCTCTAATCTAGCAAGAACCTAGAGGAGAAAGTGGGTTGTGGGATGAATAAGCAAAGGAAGAGGGTTAAGGAGTTGGGGGTGGTAGTGAGAGAGCAAAAGAGGAGCACCTGGTTACAGGTTGAGGCTGTGCAGTATGTAGAAAGACATCAGAGATGTTCAATAGTGCTCACTTCGGCAGCACATATACTCACATTGGAATAGTACAGAGAAGATGAACATGGCCCCTGTGCAAGGTTGATGCACAAATTCATGAACGGTTCCTTTTTTTTTTTTTTTAAAGAAATGTCCAATGGACTGAATGCTAGACAGATAATAGTTTATCAGGTTAAGGCATTTTATCAGAAAATTGGCTTAAATAATAAAGGGAAAATATTGCCTCACAACCCTAGGTAGATCTGGGTTTCAGGTAAGTCTTCATACAAGGCTCAAAGAAGTCTCTGGGCCAGGCACGGTGGCTCACGCCTATAATCACAGCACTTTGGGAGATCGAGGCGGGCAGATCAACTGAGGTCAAAAATTCGAGACCAGCCTGGTATTACTAAAAATACAAAGTAATTAGCCGGGCATAGTGGTGCACACCTGTAGTCCCAGCTATGTGGGAGGCTGAGGCATGAGAATTGCTTGAACCCAGCGGGTGGAGGCTGCAGTGAGCCAAGATTGTGCCACTGCACTCCAGCCTGGGCAACAGAGTGAGACTCCATCTCAATTAATAATAATAAAAAAGAAGTATCTGGTTTATCTTGGTCCTTCTTCTTCAATGTGGACTCCATTCTGGGGCAGACTCTCTACTCATGTTTTCAAAGTGCCCACCATGGGCAGCTTGAGCTATAGGTTCCCTTGTTCACAGCCAGCAGAAAAAAGTGTGTACTTCTTGGAGAACTCATTATCGTGTAACAGGGATGGGATATGCTGCTTCGTTTAAATAATTAGGGCCTACTCCTGAGGTCCGGGGTAAGATTAACCCTACTCAAACTCTATGGCTGACAAATTCAGGGTACCTGTAAGAAGGGAATAGGATGTTGTAATGCTAAGGTGGCAACCAACAAACATTCTCTTCAGAGGGTAAGACCACAGTGCTACAGAGAGTGGAGAAGAATGGCATATACTTCCAGAAACTAGAGCTGATGTTAGGAAAGGTTCCACTCTAAGGGCTTCCCCGCTAAGGGAGTTCTCCCATGAGTAGCTTTCACTATGCAAGATCAGATGAGACCTAAGATAGCCCAGGACACAGGATCCTCCCATCGAAGAGGCCACTTTCAATGTGGGCTAGTCTCTGCCCCTCCGTGCCAGGAACTGAAGAGGCTGTGCCAGTACCTTTTCCCCTGATCAGTCTCTGGGAAGGCAAAGCTTTTATGCATCTGGCCTCAGTGGTCAGTGAGACTGTGGGATCATCCTGAAGGACAGGAGGTCCTGGAGTTCAACCTCAGGACATCATATCTGGCTTAAGACGATCACTCTTCATGCCCTGCTCATCACTGTTCCTCACCATAGTTTCTCCCTAATGCAGTGCCTTGTGGGGAGCTATTTCCCTGAGTACACAGTGATAACAGGATGTGAATCACCTTTTTTCTGGGCAGAGGTGGTGGAATTTTTTACCATCATGAAGCTGAGGTTCCTTCCCCATTCTGAGTTGAATAACCCAAATCTTGGCTCTTAGAGCTGCTGGTATCCCTAATTCCTTATAAAACTTAACTCTGTCCCCAACTCTTTTTTTTTTTTTTTTCATAGGTAGCTTATTTTATTGGATTGCTTTACCAATAACACTTCTTGCATTCAGGAGATTTGCCTCAGACACATGCCTAGAAGACCTGAGAGGGGCAGGTCTGGCCACAGATTCAAACTTTCTTCATTGTTTTTCATGTCTTTCTCAGCAAAAGTGAAGCCAAGACTTCTCCTCTCATCCCCGCTTCCCAGGGGAGATCAGTCTCCGGTGTAGGGTGGCAGGCTAATGGAGGCGACCAGGTCGTCGTTGGTCAGGGGCCGGCTTCGGACACGCTCGAGCATCTTCAGACCTTGAGCGTGACACTTGGAGTAGTGGCTCCCCACGGAACGGAACATGAGCAGCAGCCACTGCTTTGCCATTGGTGGTCCGACTACGGTCACACGAGTCTGGCCTGTAGCTGTAAAACAACTCTCCAGTTGAATAAGGGTGTGGCTGTGCAGCTCAATGCAGCGAAGGTATGTGTCATCAAGTCCGAATATGAGCTCCTCCTGGTCCTCTTCCATGTGGAACACAATTGGAGCATGAAAGTTTTCGGGTAGGGTCCACCACGGCTCCTTGCTGAGAGCACCTGTTCCCATGTCCATGCTCTGCTCCCACCTGATTCAGAATAGGGGAAAGTCTAAGAAACTGTCCCCAACTCTTTACTATCCCATTGCTCGGTATCTTCCACCACATCCTCCTTCTGGAGATTCTGAGGCCGGACGCAGTGGCTCATGCCTGTAATCACAGCACTTTGGGAGGCTGAGCTGGGTGGATCACCTGAGGTCAGGAGTTCGAGACCAGCCTGAGCAACATGATGAAATGCTGTCTCTACTAAAAATACAAAAATTAGCTGGGCGTAGTGGCAGGCACCTGTAATCCCAGCTACTTGGAGGCTGAGGCATGAGAATGGCTTGAACCTGGGAGGCAGAGGTTGCAGTGAGCCCAGATGGCGCCACTGCACTCCAGCTTGGGTAACAAAGCAAGACTCTGTCTCAATAAACAAAAACAAAAAGACTCTGATACCCTATAATATATAATTTTATGGCAGCAGAAGGCAATAGGGCAAAGGATTTCTTCCTTTGTGGTGTAGATGGGGTGGTGATGATGGAAAGATAAGGAATGTTATAAAATGAGTCTTCAGCAGAGGAGTCTAGTCTCAGGGAAGAAAACTGGACATTAAATTTGTAATCTGGAAAGGAAGTAGAGGCGTTAACTACAGTTTTGAAACTAGTTTTTATGGCTTCCATATTTCACCTTTTAACCTTGATGCTATATAGTTTTTCAAAGAGGCACAATTGTTTTGATTAGCTACATAGAAAATGAAGCGGAATTAGTAAACTATTACAATACAATACAATACAACAGTTCATTAAGATTGCTGGCTACAAAATCAACATTAAAAAAATCAGAAATTTCCACCACATCCGCAATAATCGCCTAGAAAATATGAGAAAATAACATATCATTCATGATAGAATAAAATCATAATGCGTCTAAGAAAAAGCCACAGAATAAATGCACATAACCTTTGTATTGAGAAACACTTAAAATTATTCAAGGGCAAGTTGAAAACTAATTAAGTGAAGAGATTTACCTTATTTATAAATGAGGTGATTTAGTATTATAAAGATGTGAATTTCCTCCATGTTCTCCTGCAAGACCCATGCGATGTCAATATATCAACAGAATGGCTTATATAACTTGACAACCGATTGTAAAATTTATATGAATGCATAAGTCCATGGATAATCAACGGAATTTTGACAAAAGAGAATAAGGAGACTCATTGTAACTGATAACTGGGGGAAGGGGGGAAGCATTTGCTCCAGTCCGTGGTGCCAGCTCCAGACACCTCCCGTGGAGAAGTCCAGTGAGCTGCCACTGGATGCTAAGTCTGAGGTCACCAACTAGCTTGTAGATTTTATTTTCTTTTTTTTGAGATGGAGTTTCCCTCTTTGTTGCCAGGCTGGAGTCCAGTGGCACTGTAGCATGACCAGCCGAAGACAAAACTCCTCAGATACCAGATTAAAGAAGGAAGTGGTTTATTTGGCTGGGAGTGTAGGCCGACTTGCGTCTTAAGAGCCGAGCTCCCCGAAAAAGAAACTCTTGACCTTTTTTTTTTTTTTTTTGAGACGGAGTCTGGCTCTGTTGCCCAGGCTGGAGTGCAGTGGCGCATCTCAGCTCACTGCAAGCTCCGCCTCCCGGGTTCAGGCCATTCTCCTGCCTCAGCCTCCCAAGTAGCTGGGACTACAGACACCTGCCACCACGCCCAGCTAATTATTTTTGTATTTTTAGTGGAGACAGGGTTTCACCATGTTAGCCAGGATGGTCTCGATTTCCTGACCTCGTCATCCACCCGCCTCGGCCTCCCAAAGTGCTGGGATTACAGACGTGAGCCACCACCCCCGGCCAGCTCTTGACCTTTTTAAAGGCTTACAACTTTAACGGGTCCATGTGAAAGGGTCGTGATAAATGAGCAAGTGTGAGAAACGTGACTGGGGGCTACATGCATCAGCTAACAGAACAAAAAGTTTTACAATGCTTTTTTCATACAGTGTTTGGAATTTACAGATGACACAAGTAGTTTAGGTCAGGGGTTAATGTTATTATTATCACTTTTTTTTCAACTCCTAGGGCCGGGTGGTGGTGTCAAGGTTGTCTGGCTATTTATCTTACTTTTTTTGTTCGTTTGTTTTTTGTTTTTTTCCCCAACTTTTTGCTTTCTCTCTTTCCTCCTGTCTTGTGAACTAAGCAAGGTGGGGGTAGGAGGACAGCAGGAGTAGTAGTGGTCTCCTTCCTTAGCATGATCTCGGCTCACTGCAACCTCCGCCTCCTGGGTTCAAGTGATTCTCCTGCCTCAGCTTCCCAAGTACCTGGGACTACAGGTATGTGCCCCCACGCCGGGCTAATTTTGTATTTTTAGTAGAAATGGTGTTTCACCATGTTGGTCAGCCTGGTCTAAACTCCTGACCTCAGGTGATCCACGCACCTCAGCCTCCCAAAGTGCTGTGATTACAGGCCTGAGCCACCACGCCTGGCCAGAGTTTGTAGATTTTCAATGGAAACTGGGTTTGGCTGCGAGCTGTGACAGTTGCAGATTTCTTAAGTATCCTTATGTTGCAGTGATGCTAAAAGTGGCAGATCATTCAGGCCAAGTAAAGACCAAGTGCTTTGAAATGACAGTTCCACAGTTTCAGAATTTCGACAGACAATTCAAGGAGATTGCTGCAGCTATTGAAGCTATGTGAAATGGATTATTTGGTAGATAAATTACTATCATTCTAAAGTCATGGATTTCACTTTCTGCAACAAAACTGCATAAGAATGAAATATTTATTGAATGAAAATTGCACTTTTGTTTTTTTTTTTCTTTTTTTTTGAGATGGAGTTTTTCTCTTTGTTGCCCAGGCTGGAGTGCAGTGGCGGGATCTTGGCTCACTGCAAACTCTGCCTCCCGGGTTCAAGTGATTCTCCTGCCTCAACCTCCTGAGTAGCTGGGATTACAGGTGCCCGCCACCACACACCACTAATTTTTGTATTTTTCGCAGAGATGGGGTTTCACCATGTTGGCCAGACTGGTCTCGAACTCCTGACCTCAGGTGATCCACCCGCTTCGGCCTCTCAAAGTGCTAGATTACAGACAGGAGCCACCACGTCCAGCTGCTTTTCCATTTTTAAAAATAATTTTAAAAATTTAGACCCAAAAAAAAAAAAAAGATAATAGCGGCCAGGCTCATTGGCTCATGCCTGCAATCCCGGCACTTTGGGAGGGTGGTTGGATCGCTTGAGCTCAGGCGTTTGAGACCAGCCTGGGCAACAAACATGGCGATACCCTCATCTCTATTTAAAAAAAAAAAAGATAATAGCCATAGTAATTTTTAAAAACTGTGTAGCACTGACACAAGAATAAATAAGTACCCAATGGAACAGAATACAGAATCCAGAAACAGACCTGAGTGTGAATGGAAATTTCATATATGATATGGTATTTGAATTAATGAGTTGTTTAGTGGGTAATCTTGAGAAAACTGACTTACAGTATGTTGGAAAAATAAAATTGGATTATAACTCACACAGTTACAAATTTCCAACAGATAAGATACCAAAAAGTCAAAGATGAAACCATGAAGCTAATAGACAAAAATTCAGAATAGGCCGGGCGCGGTGGCTCAAGCCTGTAATCCCAGCACTTTGGGAGGCCGAGGCGGGCGGATCACAAGGTCAGGAGATCGAGACCACAGTGAAACCCCGTCTCTACTAAAAATACAAAAAAAAAAAAAAAAATTAGCCGGGCGCGGTGGCGGGCGCCTGTAGTCCCAGCTACTCAGGAGGCTGAGGCAGGAGAATGGCGGGAACCCGGGAGGCGGAGCTTGCAGTGAGCCGAGATCGCGCCACTGCACTCCAGCCTGGGCAACAGCGTGAGACTCCGTCTCAAAAAAAAAAAAAAAAAAGAAAGAAAAATATGCCATTTTGTTTGTTTGTTTGAGACAAAGTCTTGCTCTGTCCCCTATAGTGAAGTGCAATGGTACCATCTCGGCTCACTGCAACCTCTGCTTCCTGGGTTCAAATGATTCTCCTGTCTGAGTCTCCTGAGTAGCTGGGATTACAGGCATGTGCCACCACGCTGGGCTAACTTTTTGTATTTTTAGTAGAGATGGGGTTTCACCATGTTGGCCAGGCTGGTCTTTAACTCCTGACCTCAAGTGATCCACCCACCTCGGCCTCCCAAAATGTTGGGATTACAGGCCTGAGTCACTGCTCCTGGCCAATAAGGTTTTTTTTTTTTGTATTTTTTTAGTAGCGACGGGGTTTCACCATATTGGCCAGGCTGGCCTTGAACTCCTGACCTCGTGATCTGCCCGCCTCAGCCTCCCGAAGTGCTGGGATTACCAGCGTGAGCAACCGCACACGGCCAATAAGTTTTTCAATGCAGGAAAAACATAAATATGCCCTCAAAGGAGGAATTATCTTGTATATACATTCATACCTACATATATCGAAAAGGATGACGAATATGCCAGGAACAGTTAATTACCTCTGGGGATAACTGAGTGGATCTAGAAAATGTTGTTAGGGAGGCTTACATTTTACTGTCTGCCCTTTTAAATTTTATAACATGTGCATCTATTATTTACTTAAATAATGAATAAAATGCCTCTGCTTCAGAGTTGATTGTTGTAGGAAGTGGCAGGCCATCTTGCCAACTACAACGGGAAAAATATAACACTTTTAAATATAATACTTTAATGGAAATACAATATGTAAACCATATATAGTTTATATAATACCATAAACTATAAATATAACATTTCTAAAAGTTATCGAATAACTGCAAAACAAAAATAACAAGATGAACTACAATTATAGACAGGGAATAGTACTAATTAGGTAAACTGAGATTGTTGGCTATTCTCTTTCCTTGGGTAATTTGCTGCATCTGGGTCTGAGATGAGGATCAGATTGAAGGGGTGGCCAGCCCCTCCACAACCTGTGGGTGTTTCTGTCAGGTGGGCGAGAGACTGAGAAAAGAAATAAGACACAGAGACAAAGTATAGAGAAAGAAAAGTGGGCCCAGGGGACCAGTGCTCAGCATACGGAGGACCCGTGCCAGCACTGGTCTCTGAGTTCCCTCAGTATTTATTGATCACTATCTCTACCATCTTGGAGAGGGGGATGTGGCAGGTCTATAGGGTAATGGTGGGGAGAGGGTCAGCAGGTAAACATGTGAGCAAAGATCTGTGTGTCATAAATAAGTTTAAGGAAAGGT